TCTTTGCAAGCAACCCTTCAAGGCATGTATTACCATCTTTGTTTTACAAATGAGGTACCTTGGACTCAGGGAGTCAAGAGAGGTACCCAATGTCTCATAGCTGGCATTTGGAAGAACATGACTTCATTTCTCTACATAGCTCAGCCCATGTATATTGACCTCATTGGTGTGTCAGGAAAGCGTCGTTATTTTCAATAGCAGAGAATTAGATGGGTGCGATGTTCAGTTTTTGACCGCTCTTGATCCTTTCCAGTTCATAATTATATTACAATTAATTACTTTTCTTAACACACAGCCATGATTGGGCCACCCCACTGCTTAGAGCCTCCCATTTTACTTGAGGAGGATATAATCTAAGCTCCAGCCTCAGCCTTTTTCACCCAGTCTCCCACTGTTATGCTCTGATGCCTGTGCTCCAACCAATCTGAGTAACCCCCTCACTCTTCCGTGAACATGCAGTTTTCTTTCCCTGTTCTCTGCTTAAATACTAGCTTGAGTTCAACTCTGGGTTTCAGTGTCTCCTATCAGACAAGTCACTCACTATCTCTGACCCTTTGCTTTCCCATCTGCCTGGAGTCGTTGGGCTTAAATGGGACGATGCATGTGTTGAGTAGTTATTCTGTCAGAAAGTATTTATTGGGGGAAAAGAAAGGATTGCGGTGTGGTATGTGCAGCCGGGCAAGACAAGTGCAAGAAGAGAGTGCAAGAAGGACATTCTTTTCTGAGGGGAAGAGAAAGTGAAGGGGAGGGACTGTTAAAACCATCCAGCTCTGTTGTAACCTTGGAGTTCTTCCTGTACGGCTTTGAAACCCACATAGGGTGTGAGAGCCCCTCCCACAAGCCTTCCCTATTCCTGTCTTGGTTAAGGTCTCTGTCATAAATGTTGACACATGTGAAGTGTTGAGTACCACCCATGGCAGATAGTGATCCATAGTGGTGGCTGCACTAAAATGAAGCCTAAAAAAAGTACAAGAAGAAACTGGAACATCTTGTGGGATCAAGTCAGAAAGTGCAATAAATGAGGTGAAGGGGAAGCCCTTCCTTATGGGAGAATGCCAACCAACATAGAGAAGGGTGGTGGGGTTAGAAAGTCGTCATTGGATTCTAAAATGGATGGGTGCTAGTTTGATGAGGAACAGGGTATTTTTACACAGTCTTAATTCGTCTCCCCACAATTTACCAGTTAATTACACAGGGAAACATAGTAACTTCATAGTGGAGAAACCTGGCAAACACCACATTAATGACATGATCAGGATTAACACCAGTATTCGAAAAATTAACATCACATGCTTCCTGATATATTCTAAGACAGATGGTCGGCTTTCACAGGCAGGTAGATTAAGGTGATAACCATTTCATTGATGGTCCTTCCAGGAATACATACCTGCATTTAATAATAAAAAAGCATTAGGTAAAACCCAAATTGAAGGTTGGCCCTCAGAATGACTGGCCTAGCCTCTTCAAGATGTCAAGATCAAGGAAGAAAGACCGAGGGTTCCAGACTAAAGAGCTATGATAGCCATGGGTCCTGCACTGGAAAAAAGTAGCTACAAAGAGCAGTCATTGGGGCAAGTGACAAAATTTGACTAGGGAGTATAAATTAGATTTTTTTAATCATAGTTAGTTTTTGACATGGATGGTTGTACTCTGTTTATATGAAAGGATGTTCTTTTTCTTAGGAGATGCACACTGAAGGACTTAGGGATAGGAACATGATGTCTCTAGTTTACTTTCAACAGCAAAGGAAAAATATGCACATATGTAAAAACAGAGAGACTACTAAAGCAAGTGAAGCAAAATATAAACAATCGGTAGATTTGCATAATGGGAATATGGAGGTTTCTTGTACTGTTTTTGCAAATATTTTTGTAAGCATGAAATTATACCAAGATACATTTTCTTAAAAACCCAAGTTTAGGGCATTGTGACCCAGATATAAAGGAGTTTTCAGCAGCCCTTCTAGACTAATGCCAGGTTTCATGCCATTGTCCCTGTAATGCTAGCCTGTGAAACAAGATTAAAGTATAATTTTTCCAAAACAGCATTAGAGTTGTAGCTTTCTCCTGCTCTGACTTTGCTCCAGTCATTGTGGCATATCCAGAAAGACATATCGATTACATATATTGTCCTTTGTATGTATGTATGTATTATTTCTCATGACTGAACATTTGATGAGGTTTGGACTGCGGATACTTTGAGGTTCTAATCTCTGGCAAGAATTTAGAATGTAGCTCTTCTAGGTTTCCAAATTCAGATGCTTCTGCTTTAACAGGCAGGTAGATTAAGGTGATAACCTCTTAGAAAAGTGTAGATACTCCTGTAGGCAAGGCCAAGTACTTTAATGAGAGAACAACCCTGGGTTCACTCCTATAGAAATAAATTCGCTCTGAAATTCGGTGCCATAAATATGTCAGTGTTCATTTTAGCTTGGCACATTCTCCCAAAAAGATTGACATATTGTTTACCTATCTGCTACCTACTATTCATTTTTGGAAGGGTGCATAGGAAATCTTGGAAAATAAGGAATTGGCTTAAAAATAGTGACTGTTAAAAGGAAAGCTGGGATTTTTCTTTGTGTCTTATTTTGTTCTGTTCATTTTTTAGTATAGTCATTGAAGTGGCAGTTGTTTCAATACTCATTGGTGATGGCTGAGGGTTCTGATATGCTGTTTTTTTTTTTTTTTTAGTTTTACTCATTTCAAACGGGCCGTAGTTTGCCCACGGCTGTTCTAGTGAGACCTCCGAAACTTACTTGTGAAGAGGACACCCATGAGTGAGGTAGTTCGGAACTCTGTGTCCACTAACTGACTCCTCAGCAGTGGATGGGGCAAGAATCTAAGTAGCCAGTAGCTGCAGGAGCCAAATAAAGATTTCAGCAGCTCCCACCTCAGGGGAGGCAGAGTTTGGAGTTCATTTCCTCCCAAGGTACAGGAACTTAGTAAACACCACAAGATTTTCATCAAAATTCTAAAAGAGCCATGCCTTACGAGTAAGAACCAGATTCCCAGAGTCAAAAATAAATCATAGTATTTATGCATAAATATCATATTAGATTTAAGTGACTACTGAAAGGTAGAAAAAATCCACTGTTGGTTTGCAGGAATGCTGAGTTCCTTTACACCTTTTTAATACTAGCTTTGTGTTAAGCTATAATTAAAACCCCTTGCAAGATGCAGCCTTAGAGGATAATGCTTTTTACTGGCATGTGCTTTGTAAAATGCATTGCTAAACAACCAGCCATTGCTTTTGTGTCTGCTTTTTGGAATTTAAAGTTAAATGGACAAGGTAAAGCCAAAATTTGTGAGTTGACCAAGATTTTGCTTTGTTCTTTTATCAGATTTTGGTAAACTCAACAAATGGATATACTTGTGATACTTGCTTTTCAGTTATTTTTTTTTTTTAGGAGAAAAGCTTTAAACTGTGTCTGTGCCTATTTTCTATGTTTACATTGTTTCTCACACACAAATGTGTGCTAAGGTGGCAGTAGCTAGTTTCTGATGAAACTATTATCAGTATGCCAATAAATGTCTTCTTAGAGCCAGTTATGAATATAATTGTTGTGTTTTTTATTATTGTTTCCTTATTTATTTCTCATTGTAGCCTTTTTGTCTCTTATTTCATTACTAGAGGTCTGGTGCACGAAATTCGTGCACGGGAGGGGGGGTGTCCCCTCAGCCCAGCCTGCACTCTCTCCAATCCGGGACCCCTCGGGGGATGTCCGACTGCCTCTTGCAATTCGGACACCTGCCTGCCTTATCGCCCCTAACCACCTCTGCCTGCCTGCCTGATCGCCCCTAACTGCTCCCCTGCTGGCCTGATCGCCCTTAACTGCCTCTGCCTCGCCCCACACCCGGGACCCAGGATTCCCTCCTCCGGCCGGCCGCAGGCACCCAGGACCCAGGCTGGCTTCTCCCAGCCTGGCCGCAGGCACCAGGGACCGCAGGGCAGGTGACTTGTCCTTCTCCCGGGCCGCAGGCACAGGTGCTGGCACCCAGGACTGCGGGGCGGGCGGCTTGTCCCTTTCCCCGGCCGAAGCCTGGCTGGTCCCCATTCCTGTCTCGCAAGTTCATTTGTGCCTGGCTGGTCCCCTTTCCTCTCTTGTGAGCTCATTTGTGCCTGACTGGTCCCCATTCCTCTCTTCCCAGTATTGAGTCAGCAGTTCCGGTGGGAGTGACGCGTGAGGGCGTGATGACCATTTGCGTATTAGCTCTTTATTATATAGGATTCCTCTTGAGATAAATAGAGCCAATTGAAAGGGGAATGGAATAAGGATTAGTTTCAGGTGTTTTGATCGGGCCATGTGGTGCTACTTTTACTTTGGTGCTCTGCAGAGCAATAGGAAAGCTATCTGCTACCTACTATACATTTTTGGAAGGGTGCATAGGAAATCTTGGAAAATAAGGAAAATTCGCTCTGAAATTCGGTGCCATAAATATGTCAGTGTTCATTTTAGCTTGGCACATTTTCCCAAAAAGATTGACATATTGCTTACTGTGGCCATCAAAAAAAAATCTCTATATAGCTCCCCCAACCCCCTGTCCCGAATGTCTACTTTTGAGAACTAAGGAATTGGCTTAAAAATAGTGACTGTTAAAAGGAAAGCTGGGATTTTTCTTTGTGTCTTATTTTGTTCTGTTCATTTTTTAGTATAGTCATTGAAGTGGCAGTTGTTTCAATACTCATTGGTGATGGCTGAGGGTTCTGATATGCTGTATTTGAGAAACTGTATTTAAATATATGTAGAACTCGTGTAATAGTTTTAATGGCAGTACTCTATGCAAATTCATTTGATTGTAGTTCAGGCTAGTCATTATCTTATGAAACTGTATTGTATATGAATTTAGTAATATATTCTTATGAAACTGTATACTAAGAATTATACCAAAAGTCATATATTAAAGTCAGTGCCTTGTGGTTAATCCACATTGATTAAAAGGAAACACTTCCATTAGTTTATGAACACAAGTCAAAGAAAGAAAAATATATTTCATTTTTAGATTATATAAATGGTGGAGAACTTTTTACTCATCTTTCTCAAAGAGAGCGTTTCACAGAGCACGAGGTGCAGATCTATATTGGAGAGATTGTGCTCGCCCTTGAACATCTCCACAAGGTAAGATGCTCAACCTTTGGGGTTTCTCTCTTTGAAAAATCTACTAACCGAAGTCATGATGGAGCTAAGACAGCTAATGTTTTTATGTGTCATTGTCTTTGTGGTGATTGTGAAAGCACACTTGTAGACCGTTAACCTCGTTTCTCAATTTTATAGTTCTCTCTCTCTCTTTTTTAATATATTTGTATTGATTTCAGAGAGGAAGGGAAAGGGAGAGAGAGAGAGAAACATCAATGATGAGAGAGAATCATTGATCAACTGCCTCTTGCATGTCCCCCATAGTGGTTGAGCCCACATCCCAACTCAGGCATGTGCCCTGACTAGGAATCGAACCCATAACCTCCTGATTTATAGGTTGGTGCTCAACCACTGAGTCCCACTGGCTGGGCTATAGTTCTCTTTTTTAAAATCTGCTTTCTTTAGTAGTTCCTGTGATGCAGATTTAAAATGCAGAGCCTGAGTAATATTCTGTCTTTTTTTTTTTAATGAAAAATCCTAATGCTTATTACAAAGTATCATCAAAATAAAATTTTTCATTCTTACAGATTTAAAATGCAGAGCCTGAGTAATATTCTGTCTTAAGTATTATTTTGTATTAGTTTCGGTGTATAGCATAGTGATTAGCTAATAATATACTTTACAAAGTATTCCCCCGATATTTCCAGTACCTACCTGGTATCATGCATAGTTATCACAATAACTTTTCCATTCTTAAAATAACCTTTACAATAAAGCCAAGGTCATAATACATATTTCCTTAGTAGAGACTCACTTCCCTTTATATCTTCACGGTGTATTTCCTGCTGAGGTTGGAGAAGATGAGTTATTTGAAAGAAGCATCTACCTGTGCTATCCCGCTTTCTCACTGTCCACCCTCCATAAATATGTCAGTGTTCATTTTAGCTTGGCACATTCTCCCAAAAAGATTGACATATTGTTTACCTATCTGCTACCTACTATTCATTTTTGGAAGGGTGCATAGGAAATCTTGGAAAATAAGGAATTGGCTTAAAAATAGTGACTGTTAAAAGGAAAGCTGGGATTTTTCTTTGTGTCTTATTTTGTTCTGTTCATTTTTTAGTATAGTCATTGAAGTGGCAGTTGTTTCAATACTCATTGGTGATGGCTGAGGGTTCTGATATGCTGTATTTGAGAAACTGTATTTAAATATATGTAGAACTCGTGTAATAGTTTTAATGGCAGTACTCTATGCAAATTCATTTGATTGTAGTTCAGGCTAGTCATTATCTTATGAAACTGTATTGTATATGAATTTAGTAATATATTCTTATGAAACTGTATACTAAGAATTATACCAAAAGTCATATATTAAAGTCAGTGCCTTGTGGTTAATCCACATTGATTAAAAGGAAACACTTCCATTAGTTTATGAACACAAGTCAAAGAAAGAAAAATATATTTCATTTTTAGATTATATAAATGGTGGAGAACTTTTTACTCATCTTTCTCAAAGAGAGCGTTTCACAGAGCACGAGGTGCAGATCTATATTGGAGAAATTGTGCTCGCCCTCGAACATCTCCACAAGGTAAGATGCTCAACCTTTGGGGTTTCTCTCTTTGAAAAATCTACTAACCGAAGTCATGATGGAGCTAAGACAGCTAATGTTTTTATGTGTCATTGTCTTTGTGGTGATTGTGAAAGCACACTTGTAGACCGTTAACCTCGTTTCTCAATTTTATAGTTCTCTCTCTCTCTTTTTTAATATATTTGTATTGATTTCAGAGAGGAAGGGAAAGGGAGAGAGAGAGAGAAACATCAATGATGAGAGAGAATCATTGATCAACTGCCTCTTGCATGTCCCCCATAGTGGTTGAGCCCACATCCCAACTCAGGCATGTGCCCTGACCAGGAATCTAACCCATAACCTCCTGATTTATAGGTCGGTGCTCAACCACTGAGCCCCACTGGCTGGGCTATAGTTCTCTTTTTTAAAATCTGCTTTCTTTAGTAGTTCCTGTGATGCAGATTTAAAATGCAGAGCCTGAGTAATATTCTGTCTTTTTTTTTTTAATGAAAAATCCTAATGCTTATTACAAAGTATCATCAAAATAAAATTTTTCATTCTTAAGTATTATTTTGTATTAGTTTCAGGTGTATAGCATAGTGATTAGCTAATAATATACTTTACAAAGTATTCCCCCGATATTCCTCATGTAGCATGAACTTAGTTACTAAAAACATTCCATGAAATTCATGTCTGTGATGCAGTTTGAACTCTATAAAATTAGTTTAAGCTTTTAAAAACATTGTTTCAGATACTATTAATCTCGATCCAAGAAACTTTGACTAAAAAAAATTTTTTTTTAACTTAATGAGGAAGAATTATTGTGGGAGTGGTTGTTATGTGCCTCAAAAATAGAAAGCACTAGAGCAATTTTTACCAAAGGCCTGTGAGGCTGCAAGGAGACTGGCAGGGCTTGAGTCACAATTCAGTGGATGATGTAGGCACACCATAAAGCCACTCTTCTTTGTTTTGTATTCATATCCACACTAGATTACAGGTGACCATAGGAAAGAATGAAGAGAATCGAAGGGAAAAGACAGGACCAAAGAGGGAATTTTTAAAGGGGCAGGGAGATTAGAACGGCAAGATGGAGGCAATGGATGGCAGAGGCTCTGAGAAAAAATGAGGAGTTTTAAGAAAAAAAGTGAGGGAATCAAGAAGAAGGTAGATCCAGCCCATCCGGCCCAGAACAGAAATGAGGCTGGGCAGGTGGAGGGAGATGGGGTTCAGAATAGGAATCTTAAGGGGAGTGAATGAAAAATATGTAAGAATAGGGGGAAAGAGAGAAGGCTCCAGGGGCAGGGCTGCAGTGCCCTGGAGAGAGTAACGGGGAGCGAGGAGGGAGGGAGCTGAGCTGAGATGATGGGAGCTGACATCTCTGTTCCTTTTGATAGACTTGTTGGTATGGTGACAGGCTTTATGCCTGCGATTATTTTTGTGGGATATACAGTAGTTAGGACATCTTTTTTTCTTTCTCTCTCAAATGGTAAGAATTTTATTAAAAGAGGGAGAGTTATTCCGTAGCACCGAAGCAAACTTTTATAGTAAATTTTCAGCAAGGTATTCTAGCTATTACAAAGTTTTTAAAAAGGCTTCCGAATTATCCCTGAAAATAAAGTTTCAGTTAGTGCCTAAACACTTAAAAATGGGGTATATTATATACACACAAAATAGAGCAGTTTCACAAAGGACATCTTTTTATACATGAACCAAATCGGGCCCAGGAATGGGCAGAAAATACCTTTTTATTTTATGTTTAGGAGTATTAGATGTAGTTTTTTATGGCATGAAAATGATGGTGGAGAAGGCCATAAATTCCTGAGCGAAAACTAACAAACTAACAAAATACAGAGCTCTGAGGGGAAAGCTTAGTAAATTGAGTTTTTAATTTGTGTGAAAGCTTTAATTTTGTTTATGAAAGGAAAATCCATGAACATTCATTATCATTAAAACAGGGTAATCAGAAACACAGAAATAAGAGAACATGATGAATTCTGAATATAAATGTACTTGATATGGAGTGGAAATAATCTAGCAGGTCAGATCTCAGCTAAGTTTCTCTTAATCTTCCTACCCTAAAAAGGTAAATACAAAGAAGTATAACACAAAGCCAGTTTTATTAGTCTTGATATAGCTGCCAGCACTGATTTTCCCAGGAAGAGACAAAAATGGGAGTTTATTTGGAAGAACTGTGGGAATAAAAACAAAGGAGTGACCATTGTGGGATCCGGTGCCATTAGAGAGGTGAAGGACATGAACTGGCCAAGAAGGCACCTACACATCACTGGGGTGAGGATGGAAGCACCCACACATCACCTGGGGTGAGGATGGGAGCTGTGACAAGAATAGAGACAGGAAGCAGCAGTGGTCATCGGGGAGACTCTACAGAAGGTCCAGCAGGGATGGACCCTCACTACACAGAGAACGGAGACCTGTGGGAGGGGCCCCGGGAACCCCGCAGATGAACCCGAGATGGAGGGACTTACATTTGCCCTGTTCAGTGACTAAGACCCATTATAACATCCTGAGAATGCCTTGTTTGTTTATTTTTGTTTGTTTGTTTTTAAGGTAGATAAGAAAGACTTTTGGAAATTGTTATTTTTAAATGCATATTTATTTGTTTTTACAGTTGGGGATTATATACCGTGACATTAAGCTTGAGAATATTCTGCTTGATTCTAATGGCCATGTGGTGCTGACAGATTTTGGTCTGAGTAAGGAGTTTGTGGCTGATGAAGTGAGTATGATATTTTAATTTAAAGTTAGTAATGACAATATAAACAGTGATGAAAAATTAGCTATGGAGTAAGCATTTAACAGGATAGTACCATATGGATTATGGATCTTTGTGCAGATTTGCCTCAAGGAGCATTTGGCATGGATGACTATAAAGATTTTTAGTTTAAAATTACCATGGAACCATCCTGTTAGAATTGCAGTAAATCTTTGATGAGTGTATCATAATTCTCCAGTTTAAAACAAAACAAAACTATGCATTTCACTTTCCCCATCAAATATAACTAAAAAATTTAAATAACCCTTTGGGTCCTTTAGGTCTGGCTTAGGTGGTAGCCAATAGAGAATAGGAAACAAAGCACATGCAATTACATTGTAATTACAGAGTAGGACGTGGCATGTTGTGATGGCCCTTTGAATTCATTTGACAAGAAAGAGAAGACCCTACCAGACTTAATTCTTTAATAAACTTACTGGGTTTGGTGGTGTTGTTTTTTCTTATATGAACTAAAATGTAATAGCTCATCTGCAGATTTTAAATATGGAGGACTTTGCATTTTTAATACTGATTAGAGTTTGTTCAATATTACAAGTACATTTAATGACATTTAAAATTGTACATCTATTAGCTGTAATTAAATATTTTTGTAGCAGTTGTAATAAAAATTATATTTTTACACTACTAGTTATTTGGGATAACTAAGTAAATATGAATGCCAATTTATTACTATCTGAGAAATTACTGGTACAGAATACAGAATCACAGTAAAATTTTTGCTATAAAGGACTTTGTTTGAAACATCATAATTGGGTTCCAAATCAGGCATTTCCGTTTCTGATTGCTTGCTTTTTGGAATTTTGCTAAAGCAGCCCTAGGTGAATTAGTTAAGTTCCAAAACTATAAAATCTAAAGATCTCAATTTTTAAATCATATCTATATCCACTCAATTTACTTATTTAACAAATATTTGTTGACCACTTATTATGCTAGGTACTAGATAATATGATGTTGAATAAAATAGAAATAGTGTCTGCCCTCATGAAGCTGGTTAAAATAATATATTATCTTTGACAAAAAATCATAGTTATAAAATAGATTAGATGAATTTTTGAGAAATATACTTCAAATTTGATTTTTAATACTTTTTCTCCTTTGCAAAAATTTTAGTGGCAAATTCAGTAAAATGTGACTGATTAAACATGTTAACACTAGAGGCCCGATGCACGAAAATTTGTGCAAGAGTAGGCCTTCCTTCCCCCAGCTGCCGGAACCGGCTTTCCTCTGGCACTTGGGACCCGGGCTGGCTTCCCTCCAACCCCGGCTTGGTCAGGAAAGACATCTGGAAGATGTCTGGTCTAATTAGCATATTACCCTTTTATTATTATAGATTTGCTTCCTCATGAAACCCCACTATAAGTAAAAGTCAAGGAGTAAAATAGGAATGCACTCAAAAGGGAGAGAAGAAAATATCAATCAGATTTTGGAAGATGGACAGCAGAAATATTAGTTGTAACCGATATTCATTTGTATTAAAATATCATCTGTCTTGGAATGGGTTTTTCTTTTGTCCATTTCTATTCTCTCTCCTTGGTTTTCAGCTTAAACTGGCCTTTTTAATCACAGTGAATTCCTAAGCCAGTGATGTGAGAAGCACCAAAGCAGGCTAATGCATCTCTGACCCCCAGAGAGGATCAAGAATTAGGGACACCAGATACCCCTCAAAGTAGGGGAGCAGGTGATAACAGGACACAGGAGGTTTGGTTGGAAGTCTGTATGAAAAGCAGGTAGCCCCCAGATCTCATGTCTACCCCATTCACAGAGGCAAGTGTGCCTTTCTTACCTTCATGGAAGACTGAAAAAAATGGACAGACTGTGGGTTCTGGGGCAGTAGGCACAGCTGAGGGTGAGGACACCATGTGGAAGCTAGTGATGAAGTGAAAGTTGACACACTGAACTATGGAACTCCAGGGCTTCTTTCTGCCCTTCACTCTGCAAACTTGGCTTCCTAGACAGGAAGATTCCTCTCTGAGAAACGGAGAACAAAAGTCTGCAGATGCTGTCAGCAGTTGGTTTGACCAGTGAACTGGCCCAGCCACATCTGCCTACAGCAAGCTATGAGGGAGGGTGGGGGTGCGGGGAGAGCGAGCTACAGGAGGGTGGGGCAGCAGACGGAGAGCTACTGGAGGGTGGCAGTGGGCTACTGGCGCACAGATTTGTGCGCAGGGCTACTAGTATATATATATTGATTGATTTCAGAGGGAGAGGGAGAGAGAGAGAGA